GTCAATGATTTGAGTATGGGAGAGTCTCCATACTCAAAATCAGGCATTCTTGGGATGGCTCTGAACTTGAACTTAAAGGTTTCATTGCCTCTGAGTTGAGATGGCTTTCATATTGGACACAGTAAAGACCTACAATCTTTTTATCTAAACAGAATGAAATTGTTGTCATTACAAGATTGTTCCTCTGTCRCAATGCATTATGAACAAATGGCTTTTGAAAATGTTTTCTGCAATCTGGGCACCGATCTGCTAGTCATGGAACAGACATCACACAAATGCACACGAAGAATTTAGTGACTTTCACCAATGACATCAAAGCTAAATTAGTCAGGAAGAACAAAATGTTCTCCCTTTATAAGAGTATATACATTATTTTATGTTAAGAGGTTGCAAGGTCAACTGGATTGTATCATAGATTTCTGAATAGCTATTTTAAATAATAAGTACCATACTGCAATTTACTTATGTGAATAATTAAAAATAAAATATGCTTTACTATCTTTTACTATGTACTTAGTATTCCTTTTACTATTAATGAGTTCTTCTCACTTTTCTGTATTTCATAGATGCACATCATATGCATTTTATTAGACCAAATCGTAACTTTATTCACACGTGAACTGTGTGGATTTCACTCCAATATTAATCATAGTTTTGTTGGACAGAATTGATGTTTTGTTATCTCAGTGCCAATATACTCTGCAGGGTCCAGGGAACATAAAAAAAAAGTACTAAGTTTTCAGAGAGCTTTTCTGCTGATTACACAATTCCTCCTCCTCCTCTTCTCCCTCTTTCTCCTCCTCCTCCTCCTCTCCCTCTTCTTTCTACTACTATTGCTACTACTRCTACCAATTTCCTAACACAGACCATTGCCTTTAAGAGGAGGCATGGAGGATGGTCACCTTTTGTTATTATTAGGAATATATCATCATTCCATCATTTTGATGCATAAACTGGGATAAATACTTTTAAAGAAATGGCACAAAGTTAAGAAGGAAAAGCACACTATGCATTTAAAGATTTAGGAAATAACAAATTATTTTGACTACAAAGCCTGGGCTAGTGACTGATCTCACTCTTGAAGTTATTTGATCTTAGAAGGAAGAAAAAAAATATTCTTCCCTATTCCAGCCATCCTTCTCCTTGTTTTGATCACTTTTTTGTCACTTGCCCGGACATATTCTATTCGAGGTACTTTTACAGTTATACTCAATCCTCTTGGTCTTGCCTGCTCTGATTGCTGTCAGACTCTTAAGCTTATAATGTCAAAGCATCTCACACTCATAAGGCTGATGGGAACTACTTCAGATATTATCGGGCTCTCTGCACACTTCTTGGTGCTCTGCCATTCCCTCTGTCATCTGGCTGAGGCTGCTCATCTAGAGCTATGACTTTTTCAGGTCCATCTGGGATGYATGCCCCTGGGATGCATCCATCTCACACTGCTTAGGTCTGGCTGCTCCCTTCACAATGCAGCTGTCTTGCTGTCCATTTTATTCCTGCTGGCTGTTCCTGGCTGATTGCTGCTCCTCCTGTTACTCTTGTGGCTTTCCTCCTCTCTTGATGCGTCTCTCCAGGGCTATGATCCTTGCTCTCAGTTATTTCTGGTGTGCAAAGGCTGTCACACTTTTTGCTTTGTTTTAACAATTCTCAGATCCCCTCTTGTCTCCAACAGGCTACATTTCCCATCACACTTGGCATATAACCACTTTTCCCATCGCCGTGGGAGGACACTATCTTACTTCCAGCTGTACTATAAAGACACATCCACTCTCTCAAGAAGCTAGAGAGTTTGGAATCTTCTGTCAGCACTTCTGCTTAATGAACTATCACAATATACGGTTTTCTCTGTACATTTGTGGCCCTAGTGGAGGATGACATGCTCCTTTTCTAAGAATGATTAGGATGATGMTTTTGAAAGAGGCAAACATTACTGTCAGCAGTTTAAATGGAAACAYTGCATTCCGAAGGATTGCAGTATATTTTTCACTCTGCTTGTGGGATTAAGTGAATACAATTCCTGAGGATTCTATGGCACCAGRCTTCTTAATATGCAAAACCACAGAGGACAAACAAGTGGAAATGGAAAATATACTCAGCTCCAAGGCATTTAAATAGCAGTTTCAATTATTATCCCAAAAGTGCATAGAAAGAGGTGAATCTTTAAAATGACATCTGACAATGTCCACCAGAGATCAACATTTTAATAGTGCCTAATTGATTTATCCCATATTGATAAAAGACAATGACGATGATATTCAATGACTGCAATTTTACTTAAGAAAAATCAGATGAGAGAAAGCTGCATCATTTCAATTTCACACAGAAAATCATAAAGAGAGAGAAGAGATCCTATGGACAAATTCAAGAAGCAAAAGGGGAAAACTTTGTAAAGGGAATGCAAAGAAAAAAAAGTCTTATCAAAATATATGTGAAAGACAGTGCACGTAAGGGTAGAACAATTAAAAATAAACAGCTTAAGACAGGAGAAAAGTCCTCATTGATGGACCTCAAAGCATACTACAGCCAAGAGATCAATTTCCCAAGAATTCGAGATTTGTCATCAGTTAAAAAAAAAAAACAGCAACAATCTAAGCACCATCCCTGGATACTCCAAGAACCCCCCTCCATCATGGCTCAATTTGCAACAAGGACAATGAGGTACCTGAATATATTTGAGTATGCCCCTGATCACACAAAGCCTATTAAGCACACATRCACACACAAAAAAAGAGATGAGAAATGAATAGCAGTACCAGTGATGAAAAACATGCTGCCTTTGGAACAGTTTCACAATTGGGATTCTTTTGACATACCATTTATCATGGGATTCATATTGGTGGACACCAAAGAGAGAAAAGGACAGGCTGATGTTTTATTAAACAACTAAGTTTGTTTTATTGACAAGCTAGTTATCTGATGTGCAGGCTATGCATCTACACACAACAAAGTTARGTAAGAATAACAACAAAAAGAAGCTACAGGATCTACAAAATGTTAAATCTGTCAATTCATCTCAGAAGGAAACAGTGTCGAGTGCTTAGAGGAAAGAATAGAAAGTGTGAAAGAAAGATCTATGAAGTCAATGGGGAAAGTCTCTTTTCCCTACATTAAATACTGTTTGTACTTAAAACAAAGGAATAGTCAGACAAAAAAAGCAGAGAGAAAGAACATGYGAGGAGGAATGTGTCTTTTACTCTTCTCACCTAGGAAAGTGTGCAAGCAAATTTGTCCATCATCACTCCTAATGATTTCAGAGATCTACTAACTCAGCACAAAATTTTACAGGATCAGGCCCTGACATGAACACACACGAAGTCATTTAAGGTTGTGGGAGAGCTGAAAGGCCACCACAGAAACTGAGTGGAGCGGCTGTCATATTCACTGGGCATAGCAATTGTTTCACTGAAAAGGAACCTTTAAATGGAGAGACAGCTACAATATTCTACTTTAAGATAGTGCTTTAATCTGCATGGAAAACAGAATGATCCTATTAGCAAGCATAAAATAGCTAGCAGTATAAAGATGTGTCCTAGTGTCCTATTTGTCATTTCGATGTAAATTAAAATTATTTAATGTTTGTAAASTGTTCATATGATGAAAAGATAAGTGACAAATATTGCGCTAATATTACTATTATCATATTAATTAGAAAGAATAATTAGCTTGAAATATTACGATACTGATCTGAGACAAACCTCTGAACCTACCAAACTTCAGCTATCACCAGCAAAAATACAATTGAAACATTTAAACAATGAGACTACTTCAGTAAGCTGAAAGCCGCTCATTATTACAGCTTAATTGGCCAAGAGTAATGTTGTCAAAGCCAGCTAAGGGATTTTTGAAAACATTTCTTGAGCTCTTGAGCAACTCCAGCATTTTAAAATATTATCCTACTGCCTAAAAAAAATTATGTTTGCATATTACAAGGTCTACCTGTTATATATACACACATACAGAATAGAAACAACTTGAATTTGTTGCTGAATAGGAATAGCTGGTTCCTGAGAGAATACACCTTTTTTTAGCCCAGAGCACTGGATAAACAGATAACCTCATCTGCACACAGAATATCTGGAAGCTCAGTAGGCAAGTCACAGGTACGTTGCTGCTGTGTTGTTCAATCCCAACTAATGAAGCAGAAGGAAAAGTATTACCAAACACAAGGGTGACAGACAAAAGACTCTTAACTGCTGAATTATAAGCAGAGAGCCCTATACAGCCTTCACAGAAGGTTGCATGCAGCAGCCTCCGTGTCACATCGCGAGCATGCGCGACCATGAAATGGAGGTATTTTGCATACGACAGCATATAGCTGAAAATAATCATGTGGTCTAATGGAAAACAACGGCTTTTGGGTCATTTGTTAAGAGCAAGTTCAGTCACATGAGCAAGAAGATGGAAATGTGCAGCTCTCACTCCTCCAGTGAGGCTAGTGTAACAGTCCCAAAGCTGGCCAAAAGGTTTCCTATGACTGAAATATAACTTTAAACTGCCTGAATTTAATATGTATTCCTTCATCGCCCATAGATCTCAGTTCCCTTGTCACTGGTAAGCAATGATTTTAGAGCTCAGTACTTGTAGGAATATAAAAAATCCTMATGCGTAGGAAAAGCAGAGAAACTATTACATTTAATTTTAGTACCTGATAAGTTCTCTAGAGAGCTTCACTAGGACAAAGACAACACATTCTACTGCATTTTAAAGCATCTAATACAATTCAGACACAAAATGAATAATAATAAAAAAAACAAATCCTCTTGCCAAGCTTTGGGACTCTCATACTCTCCCAAGTTTGTTTATCTCAGTCAATAACACTGGAAGTGTTGAACATAATTGGCTAAAATCATGGTAATATATTCCAAATTAAAGTCTCCCAAACAATAACCACTGTGGTGTAYGTRTTTTTACATTAATATTTGTTTTACAGATGGAACATGTTCCCCTAATAGTTACTGGCATATCAAAATAAATAGAGACAGTTTAATTAGTCCTACCTTTTTATAGGCAATCCAGTCAAACACCCTGTCAATGTCTGTGGCTTGCTGCACCTCCTGGGACACTGGATGAGAACTGGTCAAGCCATCCAGCAACATTACTTCATGCAGGACATCTGTCAGAAACCTCTGCTTTTCCTGAAATACAGCACATGCAGTAATATCACAGACCAGTAGAATACAGTTATCAAAGGCAGCCTCTGATTAAAACCAGACCTTCTGGTTTGAATGTAAACCACCATGATCTCCTAAAACCTTGAACAAATGTATGGAACAGCCAGAAATCAGTTCTAACATGAGAGATCCTCCTGACTTGGGAGTTTTCCTGGAATGAAAGCAAGGTGACTGAAATAAAAGATTAGTAGAAGAATTTAAAAGAATTTGAAAGTGAGATTGCAAATCTAACCACAATTACCTCCTCGTAGTTATCAGGGGTGGAGAGACAGGAGATGTTATAGTTTTCAATCACAAAAAATACACCATGCTTCTGCAAGTTAACACTTGCAAAATTCACTGCATACTCAGGTAGAAACATATTTGATAGAAGAGTGGGTAAATTAATTATTACCACTTTACTGTGTAGACTTTGAAGCACAGGGTTTAACTCACTGGTCTCTTAATGATACATTCACAAGGCAAGTCAGAAGGGAAGAGAAGGTAAGTGAAATTACAGCAGCGTCATAGCAAACAGCTACAATCTCTTTTATAATTCAGAAAAGAAACTCTTCTCAGGAACTTGTACGCTCTACAAACTTCATCTCCTTCATCTTCCCATCCTCCATCTGCAGAAAGCCATCACTTTCTCTCTGCACAAGCAACAGAAAAGATTCATACATAACCTGAATGATACAGTCAAAGCCCCAGCTGTGTCAGAGACAGATGTAAGCCCAAGGAATATCTAATATATTAATTTGTTTCTACACCATCTATAAATATGGATTTCAGATGTATGYCAAAACCACTGCATACTCTGGCAGGAATATTAAATGTTCATGCATACTCTATCAACTATTGTGTATTCACTTCTATGGTACAGCTCAACACATTACTCCAAAACATTTTGTCAGCAAAAGAAGAGCTTAATTTGTTTGTTTTTTCAAGTCACAAATAAGTGCAAAGAGTGAACTAAAAACCATGCGAGATTTAAATAATTTTATTTTTCCTGAAATAATATATCACAAAATCTACCTAAATTTTAACGGATTCTGAACTAATGTTAATCTAGTGGCTTAATATAAAGAAACTCTAGGGAATGCTGTGCTATTTTTAGAATGCCACCTTGATGTCCACAGATAYAGTAACCACACAATTACATAATAAATTCTATGTTTAATTTCTTGGGTGGCAAGACTTTGGAATAAGTGTGTTAATTTAAATTATATTTATAAGACAGCTGAAAAGCTGTTCCCGTGCTGATCCACCTGGAAATAAAACTTTATGGTAAAATTCATTAGAGCACAAGAAATGTACCTTAAGCTGATTGTATATTCAGGCAATTAAAAGCACAGGATGCAAGAAAGCCAATTACCCAACACACTCTTACTGTTCTCAGCTGGCTGCATGAGGTAAGATTTGTGAAGGGAAAAGTAATGTCTTGTTCACATTATCGTTCATTTCTGAATTTTCTCAGGCATATACACTTAGTAACTGCCCTTTTTATGGAAAACTAAAGAAGTAGGAAAACAATTATTATGACAGCCCCACTCAGGGGAAAACTGCTGAGGTGTAAAGGATTGTAGATGCTTTGGTTACACCTTATATTCTTTGCTAGTTAGAAAGGGAGCACCAATTTTCTCAGAAGTATGATACGTAACACATGCAGGCATAATTTTAGTGAGGATTAAGGTTTCTGACCCATAAAGCTAAATGTATTGAACTAAAGATTTCCAAAGCATATTACCTTTCCCCTCCTCTGCCTTTGTGAGCAGATTTCAGAAGGAGACTCAAACATATGTAGAATTCACAGGGAGAGAGGAGACAGAGGAGTGTGCCTGCTGTCAGGGGGAATGCGGCTTAAAGAGGCTGAAACCCAGGAAAAGGCAGAGACTAAAACCACCTTAATTAGGATGCTGTACAAACACTACCTCAGCTATTAAAGTCATATCAGCATATTAAGGCAAAAGGACCAATACATATGATCAAATTGCTTATACTAATGGCAAAGAGGCTTTTATTCTCTAGTTTTTCCACCCTATGCATTGGGCAGAATTGATCTGTTGTAACATGATATCTACTGGACTAAAGAAACAACTAGCACAGAAATTGTGGGGAAAAAATCAATCTTGGAATGCATTTAATGAGGTCAGTGAGCTGTGAACATGGTAGGTGACAAGTTTGCAGCTAGACATGAAACAATTAGAAAACGTTGTTCAAGATTACTCTCCTCCAAGGGAGTTCAATTGCAACACAAAAACAAAACACTCATTTTGATCTGCCTACACAGGGGCAGATTGACATTCACTCCTAGATCTCATGAGTTTCATCCACATTTATTCCCCATTTTTCGAGGACAACATGGCKTTAGGTAAGTCTTTGGGTCTTATTCTGGAAAGCATTGGTAGCTGCATGAAACTGCAAGGCAGTGCATAGGGTCAGGGCTCTGATCAAGGGTATGACAACAGCAGAAGCTTATTCTGAAATAAGATTGAAATAAGGATGGAGGTGGTTCCACTCAAATTTGTGCCTTTCTTTAAAGACAAACAGGAACAACTGAGTGCTTCTCTGTTCTTTCTTTTCCGACCACCCACTCAGCACCCTCTCTCTTCATCCCATCTCCTAAGAACTTTCCTTGAACTGCAAATGGTGAAAGTCTGCAACATCAGGCCCCCTTGTGTTGAGAAAAAAAAAGCATGATAGTRTTTCTAGTTGCTTTCCTGCCTGTTCTTGCTCCAGTGGGCATCCAGGGCCTGGGACCACAGCACCATTACAGAGATGAATATGCCTCTCAGAGATTTACCTACTGACATTTTTGCACTAATACCTGTGCTCACTGGCTTCAAGTACTTGTCTCTTCACAGGAATGAATTCTTTACTTCTCACCAGTAAGATCCTCTCTGTTTGGTATGAGGCTGTCCTGAAGGCTTTACTATCCCCTCCTTAGCCCAACTTTCAACACTGTAAAAGCTTAAATTTCACTGCTATGGGTAAAAGCATCATGTCAGATATAGGAAATTGTAGATAATATCGTATAAAACTTTTCACCAATAGTTATTCTTCCACACAAGGGAAATACCTGGAGATCATTAAATATGGATCTGTAGCATAAATATTTTTCCAAAGCAAGAGGAGTCAGGAGTAAGGAACTGGGTTAACCATAAGAAAGCTATCTGCTTCTGGCTTGTTTTCATTCTTTTTTAGGGAGGAAAGTATATGAAGGAATGCCATCACGCTTTGTATATTAGTCTTCCACAGGATTCCCACTATTCAAGTAGTTTACATTTAAATGGAAAGAAAGAAAATGTGATTCTTTTTTYATCAGAAAAGACTACCTTCAAAAGCAGCATAAAAATTTATTGTGCATAACAGGAAAAGGATGATGTAATGGGACAGGGTTGCTGCTAGTGAGTTTATAACATCGTATAGAGACATAATGTAAGAGCACAAGTTAGTTAGCATGATGATAATGTAATGCTTAAGTTATTCACATAAAAATAATTTCTAAAAATTAACAGAAAATAGCAGGGAAAAGAATTAAAAGGAAAAATTTTGGAATACATCCAACAGTGGAACAAAAGGAACAGTAAGCACAATGAAAGCCCAAACTGATAATTATTACTCATAAGAGATCAAAGACCCCAGTACTAAAGGCACTGCCTTTGTTCGGGGAAAGSCATTCAAACAGTTTAAGACTGGCATCCAAATCTGTAAATGATTTTCCTGACAAAYTTGCTGGAAATACCTTCTCCAAAATACAGAGCTTTACTAGTCATCAGGAGTACAAAAGAGACGTGTACTCTCTCATGCCTGACAAAACAAACGTTTGCAAAAAGCTACACTTGGGTTTATCAGGAAATTGTACCCTAAAAAGAAAGAAATGGGAGCCAATTCTGAAAGCAATCGAAGAAGATGAGCACATGCAATGCTCAAGTGCTACAGTTCAGAATGAAAGTAACTAACTACAGAGGCATATGAGGAAAACCAAGGAACCAGAAGAATATGGGGAAACATCTTTGAGGAAACCCAAGGCTGAAAAAAACCACACCTCAAGGACAGGAAAGATTTGCTGAGGGACAAAAGAAAGTTCTTTCTGTCTGCATGTTTATAAATAAATGCTGCATTGTCATAGAGCACAGTGTCTCTTGAGTACTTGCAAATGAAAGCAACGTTTCTTTATCTCTCTCTCTTCCAATATGTAATTTTTTGGAAATGTAAGTTGAGCAACTTACAGCTTATTTATTTATTTTTATCTGTTTGCATGCCTCTATTACATGCACAGTTTGCTGAAAGAAACTTGCCACACATTCTGTGTTTATGAACTATCAAGCATCCAGATCTATTTTTGTAACTCTCTTCTCTCTATTTTTAATCAAAGTTCCTATGACATTTCTGCCCCTGTGTTGGAGAAGTGTGCACACAGACTGGTAATTTTTGTCATAAAGTGACATAGAAGTTCTAAGAGCTCAGTGTTAAGGAAGATAGGGACCCAAAGCATTTAGTACAAGGGAATTTGAAGTGTATTCTCTCCAGTGGTGTGCCAAACGAGACATTCATGAGCTCCTCAATGATGTGTTCATACTACTCAAGTTGCTGCGAGGATGGGTGCTGGATTGGTATTTTTYGTGCAATTTCACCAGATACTACAATTGGTATTTCCACTCACCAGTCTCTTTTTCACATATTGGTTGCCCAGTATATCCATTTCGTAAATGACAGTTTGCACAACAGAAGGATGCAGTATAAAGAAGATAGCTTTACCAAAAAGAAAAATAACCATATTCACCAGTAGTGCTTAAAAAGAAGGCTGGTTCCTTCTTTTTGATTCCTTCTTGCATACAAATGTATTTGCACAGACAATATTCTATCCACATAAAAGCAAGCAGATTAACTTAAAAGCAAGCAAAAAATAGATATACCATCTCCTCATACATTTGTTACCTCAACATCTTTAACATTAGACACCATAGCGCAAAGTTTATCCT